TACTGTAGGCAGGCAGGGCTAGGCCCTACGAGGAATCAGTGCAGAAGATAAGGACACATTAAAACTGTGGCAGAACATGCATTCGTTGGAGGCCAGGCCTGAAGAAAAGGATGGAATGACTACACCTACATACCTCCCCGAGGGATGAACAAAAATGATCGATATTCTAAATAGGCATCAGTCACCCAGGAGGTTGACCAGGACCTCCTGACTCATCTCTTCCAAAAAACATTCCTTGTTCTTTCCACGTACACCTGCTACATAACTTGCTTCCCCATTGGATCAACATTACCTAAGCAACTATACTTGTAACCTTATTGGTTGGTCATAATCTTGTCCTACCTTGTACCCACCTTGTGATTTTGTACCTGTCTTGTGATTTTGCTCTATAAATCTTCCTTTGAGAAGTAGGCTCATTGGTAACTCACTTTCTGGGTCCCCTCCTGTCTCTCTCAGGCAGGAGCTGTCTCTCCCGTAATAAAATTTCCTACTCTTAACCTCTGTGGCTCCTCAGAATTCATTCTTCAATTTCTGGAAACACAAACTCAGCATATCAGACATTTAGCAGGTTGGGAGTTATATTTCCCTTATATCATTTGGAGGTCCGATATGGCGGTGAATTGCAGAGAGAAAAGACAGCAGACAACAAGAGAAGCTAAATGAAAAGAGAGAGATTTTCCGGCAATGGAGACCATATCAACAATGCTCTTACATAGCCCAAGGCCTCCAACAAGCCTCTGCTGGCTCTTTTTTATTCCTGCCTCAGTACTCAAAAGTTGCAGAAATATCCTGGCTAGCTTTTAAAAATGACATCATTAAATTGCATATGGCCCTGGAGAGTAGTCCTGGGAAGCATCTATTTTTCCAACCCTCCAAGGAAGTAAATATCCCCAACAGAAAGTAATGCCTACAGCAACACCGATGGTCATGTTCACGAACATTTGTTGAGCATTTAATATATACCAAGCACTGTGCCCAGTTCTTCAATAGTATGTTATCCTATTTATTTCTCAAACTTGGCACTTTCTGCTATTTTGGGCCAGACAGTTCTTTACTACTGGGGGCTGTCCACTTTATCCTTCTGTCAGTAACAACCTTTCAGTAAGGACAAAGAGGTCGTCAGACATTGTCAAATGTCTCCCTTGAGGCAAAACAGCTCCTTCCCTCCAGCTGAGAACCAGTTTTAAAATATCAGTCAACATTATCATCCTACTCACCTGCTTAAACCCCACAAAGACTCCATACTGCCTCAGGTGTCCAAAGTCCTCAGCTAATACTCAAAGGCTTTACAGTCGGCTCTACCGGCCTCATCACCCGCCCCACATTTCCACACATTAGCCAACACACAGAGCCATCTTCTCCACTATCCTTCCACCCAGGAGCTCATGCTTAAACTTCCCCCAAGAATGTCCGTACCCCTACCTAGAATGCCCTTTCATCCTGTGACCGCTACCATACTGCTCCTCAAATGTTCCTTCCTCTCAGTAACTTTGTCTGGCTTCCTCAGGCAGAAGCAACTGTCTGCCCATGTGTTCTCCAAGCACATTAAATCTACTTCTCTTTCTACCCTTATTTTATGGCTGTTTGTCTACAAACAGCTTATCTGTTTCTTTCTAAATTGTGAGCTCCTTGACAAAAGAGAACATGCACATTAACAGTGACTAGCATGAAATCTGGCATACAGTAGGCATACAATTAATGTTTGCTCACTAACACATTCATTCAATAAGTATTTACTGAGTTAACACCACATGCAGGGCAAGGGAGATGCAGCAGTGAACAGGAGAACCAAGTTCCTGTTATTATGGAGCTTAGAGTCTACACATTCATTCACCATATATGCCCTGAGCTATGTTATTACAGTAGTGAAAGCAGCTATCATCCCTGGTGGGGAAGATTATTCACTTTACTACCTACTGAGTGTGGGAGTGGGACAGACCCAGAACGCGGGGGCCAGGCTGCTGAAATGCAGTCACCAACTCACAGTGCCGTATCCCCCAACACTCATGTGACAAGGCTTTACCAGTTGGCTCCTAAACCTTGCAGGTGATTCATCCTCCAGAACTCTGAATCAGGAAGGAGCAGATGCATAATACAAATCTGACTGTTAATCAAAGGAAAGGTAGCGGGTAAAGGGGAAGTAACCTAAATTGGTCTGGAAACTGTGTCACTGCAGCTCTGAGAAGGTGGAGGAGAGGGTGACACAAAGCCAGGCTCACACAGCAACTAGCCAGCACCTAGTGCGTCCAAGCAGTATCTCTTGGCCACTGTGAGTCTCTGCCTGTGGCCCCAGAACCTTCTTCGAGTAACCACACTGGCATTCGAAGTTCAACCACACCAAAACTAAACAAACAATAAAGCTCAACCACACTTTCACCGCTGTGGAAAGAAAAAAAATGGCTGTTTCCCAGGAAGCCTGAGGAGCAGAAGCCCAGCTCCCCAGCTGCCAAGTACATCTGGGGATTACAGATGCTGGCCGGGAGGAGGATGCAGAAAGTACAAAGGCTGAGTTTTAGGTGAGGTTCCCTACATATACGACTTGAGTGGGAATGCCTGTTCCGGCGAATTACTGCGGGAGTGGGAAGGGGGCGGGATGCAGTCTACGGCAACAACCACAAGTCAGCGAGGATAGTCTCAGACAGAGACTGCCTGCAGCCAGATTCCGCACTGGACTCCGGACCTAGAATAGTACCCCAGAGCTAGGCCCACCTTGAGGCGAAGGGCCTGGCCTTGTGGAACCCCTGGTCCTTCACTCATTGGTCAGCATCTGAAGGGAAGGGAGCTCCTGTCAGCCCAGGGCCAGTCCGCAAATCAGAGGCAGCTGTGAGCCACGCTCAGCCAAGCCTCACAGCGGAGTGGGGCCCACAGCGTCCACTGTGCCTTACTTCGGCTCACGGCTCCCGGACAGGGAAAGACCGACACACGGAGTCCCGGCAACGGCAGAGCCCTCGGCCCCCTCAGAAACCCTAGTCCCACAGTGTCTCCTTTGTGAGGCAGAACAAAGTGATCTTTGACAAGACGATCCGCCAGGCCCGCCAGGGAGCGAGGCCGGGAGTGGAGGTGACCTGCCAGGGCCAGCTGACGGACCCCAAGCCCTGGCACAGCCAGCCCTTCCAAGGGAGCCACAGAGTGGTAAGGTCACGGGGCTGGCACCTCTCCCCCGCCCCCGCAGAAGGCAGGCCGAGCCCGGGTTCGTGAGGAGGTCCGAGGGGGACTGAAATGGAAAAGAATGAAAGCCGGGGAGTAGGGAAGGAGGAAGCCAGCTGGGGAAGGAGGGGGGATGTGTTCCGGGCAGAGGGAACGCCACCGCTCTTCCCGCACAGCCAGGCTTCCGGCTCGCTCCCTCCTCTAGGAACCAGGCTCCTCCCGTAGCGCCCAGATCCCCTCATCCACCATGAATTTCTCCCCAGGGGAAACCGCATTTCTGGGGCCTGGCAGATTTTGCTCATGCTGTGAATGACCTCTAGGTAAGTTAGTGAAGGGCGAGATTCTTATGCCTCTCCGGCCTCCAGGGCTGGGCACAGAATCTGGCTCACAAAGGAGCAAAGGGTGCCCGACCCGTCTGTGCTCGTGAATGCAGCAGGTGGGAAAGCACCCTGAGGGAGAGGACACAGCCCCTGACGTGCAAGGCGGGGTGCTGACGGAGGGCAACTCAGACAACACCTAAAGTAGGGAGGGAGCAGGCTGGGCGGCCAGCTGCTATGCCCCATGAGCCCTTGCTTGTGGCAAAAAACAGGATACAGGGCCAGCAGCTCCGGGGAAGGACAAGGGCAAGCTGGGCCACAGCTCTGATGGGTCAGGAGTCACAATGGACCAAATGCCAGCACAGAGGAAATGCTCTGTGACGGTGTGGCCCTGAGTTCTGTCACTGAGGATGTGACTACAGCGCCACAGGGTCTAGATGTGAAGCCACTGGGCACCAGGCCCCTGGGAAGAAGTGGTGGAGGAAGGCTGCTTCAGCTGCCTGGTTTCGGCTCCACTGAGGACGAGCTGCTCTTGCCCTGCCAGAGGCAGGAACCAGGGCCGCTAGGCAAGCAGCTGGCTTTCTCTGGTGCCTTCACCGGGGCCAGCAACCAAAGAAAGCACACTCTGGCTGGGAACCCTCACACCAGCTCAGGAACAATCAGGCCCTGCAGTAGTGGGGTAGGGGCACCCCCAACAGGCCTTTCCCAGGGCAACCCATCCCCTCTCAGTCCCACATCTTGCTAATGACTACCATGTTGGACAACACAGATCTAGAATCAAAATAGTAATACTAGTGCCAATGGCAATCAAGCAGTAACAAAACAGGGCTAACATTTAACAAGAGCACGCCATTTTCCAGGCGTCGTTCTAAGCACATTAGCTCATGAAATAGGCTCCACTATCTTGGATATACACTAAGTCTATAGTATATATACTATATATACTGAGTCTTTTGTAATAAAATGTAAAATTACTAACTTTACTGGCCAGGCATGGTGGTGCATGCCTATAATCCCAGCACTCAGGATAATCCCAGGCTGAGGCAGGAGGATCGTCATGAGTTCAACGCCAGCCTGGGCTACACAGAGTTCAAGGACAGCCTGCACTACACACTGAGACCCTGTCTCAAAAATAAATAAATAAATAGCTTTACTATACATTCTGACATCGTTTATTTTCTATCAGTACTAAAATCTTAATCACTATCAGTGATTTTTTTTAGTGAAAAAATATATTAATCCTTATATTCAAAAAGACTAAGAACTTAAAACATTAGAAGGCGGAGAACAGAAGAACTTTCATTCACCTTGATGGTTCCTACTTCTTTCAGTCCTCAGTTTGGCTCCCCTGACCCCACAAGCAGCGGGGAAAGGTCAATGTCCCTCCCTCCTTCATTTCCGTTTTTCTGCCCTTGGAGTAGAATACCACCTCCTCCGCTGGCCCAGCTCGAGCCCTCAGCTCCGTTTCCTGGGCTGTAGTGTGAGCATGCACGGCTACAGGGCTATGCAGGCACAAGGGCACGCATTTCTACTCACCTGAGCACATCTCCCCCTTGTAGCGGACACAGGAGAAGTCATCGCACTCACAGTACTTGCCCGTGATCTTGCCAAAGTCACTGCTGTGGCAGAGACACTGGCCACAGAGGCACTCGCCCCGCTGGCTACAGACGGGCTGGCCCTCCTTGGGGCTGCACTCGTCCTGCTGAGACGGCCGGTAGTCCTCTTCAGAGCACTCGCACTGGGACCCCAGCCAGCCAGGCCCGCAGTGGCACACCCCACACTCGAAGGTCCCATTGCCGTTATTGCAGCGGCGGCTGAAAGGCTCAGCATAGGCCTGGCAGGTGCAGTCGCAGTCGAAAGTGACCTGGATGGTGAGGCTGTCCTTGAAGCCCACGGGCTTGATGGTGAAGGACTTCTCCTTCTCCTGGGGGCAGCCGCGCACCTTGGCCTCAATGCTGAAGCTCACCTGGATGGAAAGCGAGACAGCACTCAGACCCAGGTAGGTCCAGTCAACGTTCCAGCCCAGAGGAAAAGAAGCCGTTCCCTGCCCTGTCAAAGAACACCCAAAGTGGGCGTCCAAGCCTCCTGCAATCTGCAACTCCCCAGCCTTCCCACTGCGAAGCAAAGCAAGGGCACTAGCACAGCTGCGCTGCCGTGACACAGCTGGCGAGACACAGAGACACAGTGACAGCTGGCAAATAGAAGCTGTTTCATTCCACAGGTGAGTAAAACCAGTTCAAACAGAATAGACTCTGTGGTCTTGTGAACATTCTGCTCAAACCAACTAAGCCAGCTGGACTTGTTACCGGCTATCAACAGATACAGAAGAGACGATGTTGTACCACACAGCGCCACAGAGGGGACAACCATAGCTGCGGATCTACTATTCAGTGTGCACATAACATTTCATCAAAGGCCGATACTTCTCACATGGAGTGCGGAAATACATGCCTTGAGCATAGATTAATAAAAAGATCAGTAAATAGATCTGCAGAAAGATCACTGAACTGCAAGATCTACTTCTCTCCTTCTCCCTGTTCTCCACCAACCCTTCCCTCCTTGGGCAGAAGCAGAGGAGCACCAACAAGCAAGGAAAGCCGTGAAGGAATTATACAGCCAGAATGAACATCTGCACCCTCAGATTCCTCAAGGCTAGGTCTATTTGCCTGTTTCATTTGCTGTTGAATCTTCAGCAAATAGAATAATGCCTGGCACACCGTCAGCGCTCAACAAAAATGTATAGATAATACAAACTTTATGCTGTGAGGAAAGAAAAGGTATCACCTCAGGGAAGGCTGGACACTGGGTAGGGCCCCAAGGTAAGAGATACTTTCCTTTGCAATCAAATACGTATAAACAGAGATAAACAAAGTGGAGGTTCTTAAAAGCCCTGTGTGCTCTGCAAATACAGAAGATTGGTAGCTCCACTGCGTCTGACTTGCAATGACTTTCAGGATGAAATTACTGAGGGAGGTGGCAGGTGCCCACGGGAGCTCCAAGGCACAGACCGGGGCCAGACCCGCAGCTGCAGCCCCTGCCCGGCCAGCCTCACCGTGTCTCCAATCTTGAGCCCCACACAAGACTTGAGGCCGGGGATGACTTCGTTGTTGAGGCAGGTGGCGTTGAAGGATAGAGATAGCTCTTCGGGGAGGTCACGCACTTCTAGCTCTACTTTAGAACGGATTTTCTGAACAGAAAAGCAAAAGAAAGTTAAGGAAACGAGCTACAAGTAATTGGGCAAGAGCCAATCCCATCCCAAGAAAAATCTGCTAGGTGGCCTTGGACTCGCCCTGCCAGTGATGTCTGCCAGCTGCCCGAGTACCCAGGAGCCTATTTCCAGGTCTCTCCCTGGGAAACTGCTCCCCCTTCCTGTCCCCACTTGTGTCAAAATGAATCTGAGTAAAAAATCCAGACCCCACTGCAGGCCTTTCGGACATGCGGTAGAGGGTGATCAATACAGGTTACCTTCTGGAGCTGCCCTTTCTATTTAATTTTTAACTACCCTAAGTTGGGCATGGTGGTGCATGCCTGTAATTCCAGCACTCTGGAAGCTGAGGCAGGAAGATCTCAAGTCTGAGCCCAGCCCTGACAAATTAGCAACTCAGTGAGACCCTGTCTCAAAATTTAAAAAAAAGAAAAAGAAAAAAGGACAGGGATGTGGCTCAGTGTGAAAGTCCTAGGTTCAATCTGCAGTACAACAATAACAACAAAAAATACCCTCCCCTCCCCACGGCTCGGTTCCCTATTTTCCGTGTTGCTGCAGCCTGGCTGTCCCTCACCCTGTCTCCTACAACGGCTCCTTCTCCATCTAATCCCCAAGCCCTCTGCCTCCCCCTGTCTAAGCTGGACATCCACTGTCCCTGTTGAACTCTGGCATTCTTTGCTGGGTCGCTTCCTTCTCAGCAGGCTGCATCCCTCGCTGGTCACTGCCCAGCCTGGGAGAGCACAGCGGGAAGGCAGCAAGGCTGCACGCTGAGTTGGTAACCAGCACTCTCACATCTGAGCTCCGTGGTACAAGCCAAGCCCAGGAGCTTCCGCAGGCCTGTCCCCAGCGCAAGACACTTACCCCATAAGCACTGACAATGAGCTGCAGGACGTTGCTGGAATCGGCAGACAGAACCCCCACGGTGGTCCCCGGGATGAGCTCACTGTAGTTCTAGAAAGTAAAACAAAGATTCAGAGTTTAGAGAAGGAAAGTAGCGGTCTCTGTACCAAGTCAGACTGAAAGCCTTGAAATGAAGATTGGAGGAATGTACGGGATATTTCACCTGCCACTATTCGGAATATATCCAGCAGTTTTTCGGGCCTGCGCAAAATTACAGAAAACCTTCTATACTCTCACCACACTGAGTTACCTCCCGCCCATCACTGCAAACATCAACGTATCTGTCCTAGTAAGTCTAAGGTTGGAGAAAAAAAAAGGTCACAGGGAGGAATGTTAAGTACCTGGGGAATGGGATAAAGAAAGGTCTTTCTTGGTTGGGACCACGGCTTATGGTAGCGCGGGCTGGCTCCCTGGGATAAGTCCACCCGTCACAGGACCCGCTCCAGAAGCCCTGAGGGCAGAGTTACCTGGTAGAGTCGGACTACATTTTCAGTCACAGCAAAGATCAAATTGATGTTGTTCTGAGATAGCTTCTCAGTCATCAGCCCCAGAGAGGGATAATCCTAGAGAAAGGGAGATATGAACGTTTAAAAATCTCACATAAATCCCTGAAGTCTAAGCCTTTGATCTTGGCTGATCTGGGTTGTGACCAAGACAGTAGCAACGCTTTAAATTTTTCACCCATAGTCAAAGCGAAGTGCTACGGTCGGGTTATGTTTTGAGGCATATCCCTCAAGGTTGCAGGTGTTCACATTGAATTCCCACTGCAAGGCGTCGGAAGAGTGGAAACTTAATCTGATTGTGGTGTTTGGAGGGGTGGCCCCTGGGAAGTGATTAGGATCAGACAAGGTCATCAGGTGGAGTCCCACGATTGAATCCTGGTGGCTCTATAGGAAAAGGCAGAGAAATCAGAAGAGCCACGCATACGCACTTGTGTTCCCTGACTTTTGCCCTGAGAAGCCTTGTACCATCTTGGGACTCTGCCAGCAAGAAGACCATTACCAGAGGGGGTTCCTCAACACTGCACCTCCACAGCAATGAGCCAAAACAAATTTCTTTTGTTTGTAAATTCCCCCATCCGCGGTATTTTGTTTACTAGCAACCAAAAATGGACTAACACATGAATAAGAAGGATGAAGCAGCAACACAAACCTAACTGAACTCAGGATGCAGATGAGGAGATATCGGCCAGTGATATCAGAACTGAGCACCTCCTTCTCATCACTCTAATTCAATGCGGTAGCAGCCGAAGCAGCTTCACAGACTGGGGGCCGGGCTAGGCTTTGTTGTTGTAGAGATACTAACACCTTAGCCTTCCCTTGGGATTCTCCACCAACACTACAAATATTGCCTTCTCCCAGTGACAAGTGACATCTTGTTCCAAGAAGGGGTTCGCCATTACAGTAGGAAGGAAGGCCTGCTTCCCAGCTGGCCCCGTGCAAATCCTTTGGGTCTATTCTGGATGCTTGACACTTTTACTGGTGTGGATGACAGTGGAACCACGGCCAAGATAATTTCCAGTAGTGGTGCAAGTTGTTCCCCGTATAAGGATGTCCTGTTGGCAGGGGAGGGGCAGGCTGGGACTGAGCCCTGCGCACTGCTCAGGAAGGGCTGCGATTTTCAGATTCCTACAAAGGGCAACCTTAACCACAGTGGACTGGAACTCTGCGTGGTGCCAGGAATCTCACCATGGTAGTAGAGGCCGAATAATGATTATCACTGCCAATGTGACACTGCCCATCGTTGGGCTGGACAATGCCCGCCAGCCGGCCATCCAGTGCTATGTGGGTCTTGGCATCGGTAGTAAACACCAGCAAGTGTGATGCGTCATTCCTCCAGCCAATTTTTTCCTGTTTAAATAAAGGCAGAGACAAAGCAACTTCAACCACATCATGGAGAATAATGATCCAAGGCCACACCTGCCCAAAGGACCAGGCAAGTCATCTTGGAGAAGAGCCTCAGTCCAAGTCCTTGAAATCCAAGCTAGAACTTTCCAATTCCGGGGTTTATGTTCTCTTTGGAAAACAGTCTCACAGCGGACTAGTTCAGTCAAGTGACACCTTACACTCCAAACATAGTTCTTCCAATGATAATCATGTTGCCCATGTAGAACCCAACTTTCATCCACCATGCTGGGCTGGGCTGGGAGAAATCCCATACAAACATCTGCCCTCTTTGCTCAAGTTAAATTAATCTCGCCTTGACTCAAATAGTTCTGGAGAAGGTGGGAAGATACTCTCCAGCAGAAACATCTGAGACCACTGAGGTTCCAAGGGATGCCAGCTTTGGCCAGGACTGAATTAAAAACAGAGGCTGCATGTCCAAAGCATCTTACCATTCCCAATGAACAAAAGTCTGCTTAGTCTGTATCTCTTATTTGACACCAGACATCCACAGAGTGAGCCACTGGCTTCCCCATTTTGACCCGTCATCTGTGCCCGGCACCGCCTGCCCTCCAAACTCACGTCACAGACCGTAGCCTGCATGATGGCGTCAAAGCCACCCTCCGGGGCGTCCCGGTTCCGCGACACGCTCTGTTTCTGCACTTCCTCATTGAAGCGGGTCATCTGGTCAGTCAGCGTCAGCACATGCTTGTAGCCGAACATGGGCAAACAGGGGGTCTTCATACTAGGTAGGGATGGGAGGTAATCCAGGCAGACACAGTGAGGGGGGAAGGTAGCACGGGATTGGGAGGGGGAACGGGAGAGACAAATAGGACAGCAGCGTGCCCAGGCCAGGTTCGTGCAACCACAAGTACCCGGACAGCCCAGGCTCCAAAGCCTTCAAGTTACCCAAGGGCATCCCATCAACCTGGCCTCCAGCGAGCTTAGGGGACAGGAGGGTGAGCTGGGGAAACAGACTGGCTGTATTCAAACCCCACTCCTGGAACCCTTGGCACACCTCCCCGAGCCTAGCCAGGGAAACGGGGACGTGACAGCACCTATCTCAGAAGCGTGCTGCAAGGCTTACATGAGTAAAACGTGTAAACAACGGTAGGGCCTGAGTTGCTGCTGTTACCTTGTGATTAACATTTCTCTACAGTAAAAATGAGGCAAAAGTCCATCAAAAAACAAAGCCCTTTTTGCCATTCCGTTAATAAATGAACAGATCTGTCAGACAGGAGAGCTGCTGTTCCCAGACTCACAGTTTGTCTAATCAATAGCTGAAGTGTTTACTAGGGAAATTTACAACCCACACAGAAGGCTAAAAGCTACACCGTGAAAGCTGGAAAACTGAAAAGTAAATTCCCATCTTCTCAGGCTTAGTAACCGTCACTTCAAATATCAGAACACATGGATTTGCACAGTTCTGCCACTTAGGTAAGTCATTCAGCAATAAGCCAAAATGTGAAGCAGAAGCACAGGGCAGGGGCACTCAGTGGCAGCGCCTGGGCTCCATCCCCACCACCAGCACCAAAAAAAAACCCCTGGGGCACAAATGCATCGATTCACACGTGATCAAAGATTCGATAAATGTCATTTCCACTCTTACATTCCTCTGGGGCTTAATTTCTTGCATTCTAACCCTGCAGGATCCGAGCCTTTGATGACGAGAACAGTGACAACAATAACGTCAGTCCTCCCAGATGCGGAACTCCTCTGCTTTTGACCTCGTTTCCCTCCCATTCTCTTATTTGTAACAAAGACCAAGATGCTCATAGATGTTTTTTTCTAGGTCCCCAAGCAGCCTTGGGCTGTCCTGGCACAACAAGTCCACCAGATCAGCAGGCTGGCCCATTTGCCAGACAGAGAGACCAAGGCAGAAAGGAGCTATGGTTTGACTGGAAAGTGGCTAATAAAATGACCCTCGAGCTAGAAACAGGATCCAGGATTTGTTTGGTTTTTTTTTTGGTATGGTTTTTTTTTTTTGGTATGGGAAATCGAACTTATAACTTCAGGCTTGCCAGGCAAGCACTTATGCCGCTGAGCTATATCCCCGGCCCAGGATCCAGGATTTGGACAAAGGGAGGAGTGCTTCCCTGGATTCTGGCGTAGGGACTTACTCATAACAGGGGTTTTTGAGGGCTTCCGGTGGGGAGATGTACATGTACGGTGATACAGGCTTGTCCACAAAGGCCCCAAAGCCAATCCTCAGGTTACTTGTGAGCTTGCGCATCTCCGAGGCCAGCTTGGTACCCAGGTTCTGGATGCTCCTCAGATCATCCTTCATGGAGTAAGACAGGTCCATCAAATAGTAGATGTCTACAGGGTAGTCCTCCACCTGCCGCACTTGGACAGAGAACCTCTTCGAATCATCTAGAAAGCAGAAAGGTGTTAGTTGTTTCTCTTCTTTTCCCTGTAAGACTGAATAAATAGATCTGGACACATCTGGAACTAAGACATTGCTTGGTCAAATCAAACTGGAAAGCCCTAGTCCCTTCTCTCCCTTTACAACTCTTTTCCTCTCCCAATCTCTTGACCCTCCTACTTTTAACCTCTCCTTTTTCATTCTAAGATTTTTCTTCCCTGTCTAAATCCCCATCTGTCTAATCACCTGGGTCCCAAGAGTCACAGAGGTTTTGACAACTACTACACTCAGACTCAGTAAAAGACAGGAAATGCATCCTGGCCTTCTCTGAATCCCACAGCACCCCACACATGCCTCGTACAAAGGGAAAAGTCAAAAACCAGTACTTCCAAAATCAGCGGCCCTTAGCCTAATCCTTCTTCTCTCCAAAGATCTTCTGTCCCTACTTTGTCTGCCACTGTGCTCCTGCCCCAGTGGAAAAAAAAAAAAGAGTGTCCACGCTGCTTTCTCGTCCTGTATCACATCTGCACATCGATACAGAGGTATAAGTTGGGTAAAACAGGCATGAGGAGAGCAAGGAGCACTTCTGCTATGTCAGAAGGGTTAAGTAGCTTTCCCAAGGCGGAGTTCACATCCAAACTCAGGTATTCTGACTCAAATCCTAACAATTCCCATTTTCTTCACGTTCCACCCACATCCGCCCCGATCCTTCTCTTCCCATCTCATCTCCATCCTGAGCTAATCAGATTTCCCGCGCAGACCTCTCGCGCGCAGCTCTAGCCCATCCACTCCAGTTTTCTACCTGCAGGGAGTCCCATCCCTACCTGGCCGTAACCGCAGAGCAATTCTCTGCGGACTGACTTGAGTAATCTGAGAGCTGTCGCCAGAGCCCTTGTTGCTGAGGGGTCTGGCTTCCAAGATTTGGACCTCGCTGATCGGGAACTCAATGGAGTCCGGAGCACAGTTATCCTTCAGCAGATTTTCCTTCAGGTTACAGCGGGGTGAGCTCAGAGGCAGGTCCTGTAAGACAGGAGCCCAAGAGGAAGGCCCTCAATGAGAACTGTGACAGCTCTGTGCTCCGCAGGCCCTGCTGTCTCCTTACCCAATGCTTTGGAGCTAAACCAGCCTAAATGAACTGGTGTGGTTCCTGGGTAACCCCTAGGACTGCGTGTAGAAAGAGGAAACTGAGGTATCAGAAGGACTAAGGGAGTCCCTGTTCATGAGCTTTATCAAAAGAGGGCCTGGACAGGAAGATGCCTGTTGGACTAGCATGTGGAGCTCAAGACCAGTTTACCGGCTCTCCATCATCATTTCATTAAATAAAATGAAACAGAATAGTATCAACACATATAAATAGTTAAAGTAAGTCTTGTTTTGTAAAACTTTTACTTACTGGGGCGTGGGGTGTAACACATACAATACAGAATGCCATGCAGTGTATTTCTTGCCATAGTTGAAGGTCAAAACCATTTGGAAACTGCTGTGTTAGACCCAGCACCCAACCGAGGACTCATGCCCAGTGATGGGGTGCGCGGAGTAAGGGGAAGGTAAAGGACAAGGGTACAGGAGTAGACCCACCCAGACTAAACCTCAGCACTGCTGCAAGTCACACCAACTCTCCAGGCCTACTCTCCTCAGCTACCACATGAAAGTAACACCCTCCTCTGGCACACAGGACAGTCGGATTCCTAGAGACGAAACAGAACGGTGGCTGCCAGGGCCTGGTAAGGACAGATGGGGTCTGGTTGTTCAAGGGGCGTAGGGTTTCGATCTCTGGCCAAGAGAGGAGTTCTGGGGTGGCAACCGCCGTGCTCTCACAGCAGTACGAATGCTTTCGATACCACTAACCCATGTGCCTAAACAGTGGAGGGGATGGTAAGTTCTGCTGTGTGTATTTTACCACAATGTAAGTTATTTTAGGGAAATAATAATAATAATAATAATAATAATAGTCCCTTCCTCCGAGGGCTGCAAATGGGGATGTGCGCGGGGAAGGGAATTCCTTCCCCCCAGCGTGTGCACCCGCGCCGGCAGCGCTAACACCCCGGGAGAGGGACAGGGCCATAGGGGGCCACCTATGCTCAGAACCCCTCCTAATGCTCGAAGTCCCTGTCCTCTCCAGTGCAGCCCCTCTGATCCGCTGCAGGACTGCCCCGCAGGGACAGACATGGGCAGCGGCATGAGGGCTGCCCCAGCGCAAGCACGCCGTGAAAAGAGCCTCTGCAGCTCTGCAGCTTCCTTCCTCCTCTGGGCTTCTCAGGTACGAGAGCGGAGGAAGAGGCTCGGCAGTGGAAACCAGTGCACAACACTTAACCGCCCTGGCTACAGACACCCCAACGTGGACACCGCAGACCCCACACGCTGACAGAGGTGAGAATCTCCTTCCCCGGCCCAGCTCTGGCCAGGGAGCACGGTGGCCCTACGGAGCACTTCCGGGCATTTCCGGCGTGTCCCAGCCTCCTCTCGTCCCCGCCCATCTCTCCCAACCCTGCTCCCTCAGAAAGCATCTTTTTCTTACTCACAAAAACTCCAATCTTGTCTCCGATCCCAGTCACCCACAAAGCCTAGAGAAAACCTTCCCAAAAAGGCAATGGTTGGATCACAAGACGCTGCTGTGAAAAGCTGATCCTTCCCAGGACAAGACGGAGGCTAAACGGGAGGGGAGGCCAGGGAGCTGAGGAGCACAGCGAGCTATAGGTTATCCTCACGTCAGCAAAGACAGACACTGTTCCCAAGCGGGTATTTCACTCCCACCTTCTAATGGGAGCGGGCTAATTAGCAGAGGGCTTAGCGCTAAGATGCACTGACAGTCCTGATGACTTGGCCTGAGTGTCCTCAGAAAAATAAACACAGGAAAATAAAACCTACCTCCCTCTCCTTTCCTCCCTTTGCTGTCACTGACGTCAGAGGTCTAGAACGTAACAGGCCCACTCATTAGCCCAGATCTCCCTGACAGCCTCCTGTCCCAAGGGGGTACCAAGGCAGTGACCTCAGCCCCCACCAGCAACATTCCCTTTCTGAATAACCCAAGCTGAGGTGGCAGAAGGGATGTCTCCAGGCTACTCAGAGGGAAAACCAGAAAAGGATTTTTTTTTTTTTTTTTGGTACCAGGAGTCGAACTCAGCATCTTGTGCTTGCCAGGCAGGCACTGTGCCACTGAGCTACATCCCCGGCCCAGGGATAAATTTTAAAGTTCTAGTTTCCTGTGAAACCGAACATTACACAAAAAGAGCAAAGAGCCAAAGCCCAGGGGAAGACCCCAAGCACAGAAGTGGGAGGTTTCGGCCCAGGTACAGCGCCAATTAATAGATCACCTCCACTTCCTGGAGACTGACACATGCTGCTGGTACCATTCCCCATTAATCCCATTTTGGAAGTTGGGGAAGTACAGCATAAATAGCTGTCATTATGCTACCTATTTCACAGGGTTGGTCAGGGAATACAGTGAGACTGAATGTGACATGCTTTCAAAATACAAAAATCTCAATCTGAGTCAAATATACTTGAATCCTTTTGGATACACTATAAACAAATCCAAGCAAATAAGGATGCGTCTTCTACAACTGTCATTGTAACTACTATGGTCACTGCATACGCATTCCTTGGATGATAGCAAAGGGTAAGATGCCTGGGTATTTTACTCCAGAGAGCTACCAGAACATCTCCAACACAAATAAATTAAGTTGTCTTGACGGGCTTACCCACTGAGTGCAAATAATCGCTTGATCATGCAGACAGAGAACATGGACAGGGCAAAAAAGAAGACAGAAGTGTTTTATAGTTGTTGCTGATCACACTTTATTGTTTACAAGAAGATGAAAGCTCTTCAAATTATCCTTTTGGTGCAACTTATTTTTGTAAACAACAACAACATAGCTCTCAAAATGGACATTTAATCTCCAAACTTGTAAGTAGAAAAAAGAGCAGAATAAAATTATGTTAGCAACTAAAAAGAACTGAAAGAGTGATCTATACCTTTCCCTACAGTTGTGAGAAAGAAAACAAGAAGGAAGAGCTATTGCAGTCCTCTACTTTGCTAGACTCAATCCCTCTTCATCTTTCATCTCTGGGCGTCCGACTAGGTATGAGCTGGCCACCTTCCAATACGTACTCAGTTCTGTGTACCAGTGTCTAGCACTTCTTTCTACCCTAGGGTCCCCAAACACGGCAGTGTGGGACATACTCATGCTAACAATGTCTTGATTTTTGGTCCCAGTTTAATTGGGTGTTCTGCATTTATTGGGCAACCTTAACTCCACTTCTATGCACCTTGACCAATAACCAGCCCCTTCAATCAGCACTGTTTGTCCAACTTGCCGTCCTAACAACCCTTTCTGATGCAACACGTCCAGAGTTCAGCCTGGAAACCTTTATTTTTAACAAGCTTCTCGGCCGCTCCTCACCATCAGAACAGCTTGAGACAGTTTAGACTCCAGCATGGTGCCACTGAGGCCACGACTGCAAGTCGAAGCTCCGCATGAAACTGGAGTCTTTGCTACACGTACAGAGCAGAGACAGCCCACCACCCCAACCCGGGCCAGTGTCGAACTCTCCAAGAACACACCCTGTGCAGATGGGCCCAAACACCACACTCATTCATTCTGGCTGTGTTTTCCCTTTACCCAGCCAAGCAATCACTCCACACACCCAAAAGCCACTGTCCTGAGGAACAAGACAGTAAGAACGGAGCCCAACCAGTTGTTTTTCCAGGCACCGCCAGCATTGCCTGCAACCATCACGGCAGCGGGGACCGGGGCACCGAGCTGCACCCCAGCCCTGTCTTTAGGTTTTAAGTCAAAAGCCAAGACACCTTGAGCAGGTAACCTTGGCCGATACAGGGGAAGTCCTGCTCCCTCAGGAAAAAGACGCCAGTCATGCAGTCCGTGGCGCCCTCCTCTTTCCTCCCTGGAAGACACAGTTTGCCCCACACCAGGCTCCTCCGCCTGGCCTCTCCCACCCCGCCCCTCTTGCGTAGTGATAGCTGGAGTCACTCGCTAAGCCCTCGGCTCCCTCTGCTCTCACGCTTATACACCACCCTCCTGGGGAACATCCCACCGGACTTTTTAACTCCCCTATTACTTTTCTTTCATCCTAGTGGTACCCGTTTCCCGACTCCACTCCATTTGTAGGCTAGTCCTACCACACACTTTCACGCTGCCCCTGCACCTTGCCCCTGCTCTCTCCTGGCCTTCTTCCCCAGACTCTCTGAGCCAGGGTTACCTGCCTTTTCTCTGGCTTTGTCCTGACAAGGAGGGAAAGAGGAAAAAGATACAGCCTTTGAATGCCGCCTGGGTTTCTGCTCTGGCTCCCACCGTGCTCCAGCTAGCTCCAAGCCATCCAATCCAAGCAAGACACCCTCCACACCCAGCTCCCTCCTTTCCAGAATTCTGCTGCAGAAAGGCAACTTCCTCGTTTAAAAAAAAAAAAAAAAAAAAAGCTTAATATCATGTTGGTGACCAAAGGCAGGAGGACATGGCAAACGGGAAGGGAGGAAGCTGCATCATCGCACTAGAGCAGCCAGCTCGGCCCAGAGGGGCGGCGCCCTGTGGGGGCGGAGAAGGACTCGCCCTTCCCCCTCACCCCCCACCTCCAGCCCCAGGGACCAGTTCATTTGCTAAATGAAGTCAATGTGGCCCAGATGTTGGGCAGCCGCCTCTGGAAGCAGTTCCCCATGCTGCAGAATCACGTGCTGAGCTCCTCCACGCACACAGCTCTGGCAGCCCTCCTGTGGGGGATAAACACAGCCTCCCAGTCCCTTCCTCCCCAGCCTGCCCGGGAGGTTGCCTTTTTAGGAAACCTATCAGATCAGGAAGAGAATCAGACAGAGAGAATGAGGGGCCCAACTGGAGCTGTCATAAGCCTGCGGAGGGCCAGGACACGCTGCAGGACAAAGAGGACGCCTCCAGAAGCTGAGGAGCAGCCAGGCCAGGAGTCAGGTAACCACCTGCCAGCAGTCAGTGACTCAGCCTCAAACCCCATAATCACTGGGCATCTGTCCAGCCGCGTTCGTCCCTCCACCACCACCAGCTCTTGTCAGCTCCAAATTCCCACCAAAGCCACAAACACAGCCATTTCCCCAGACACACTCGTTCCCTAGGGCTTCAGACACAACAAAGCCTCTGCGCAGACACAGCTAACCCCTTCCCGACACCCTTCCGCCCTCAGCGACGGGCACGCCTCCTCCTCTCATTGACACCCACGAGAGGGAAGAGAGGAGGAAAAGAAAAGGAGAGAGGTCTGATCATAAGAGGAAGAGAAAAGATCCTACAACTAAACACCCCACACACGTACAAGTGCAAGACTCCTGTTGGTCTTTTTTAAATTCTAGGGGAAAGAAGGAAGCAAATACCTCCTCCTTTCTCAACCTGAGTCACCTCTTCCCTGGGATGTTCTACTCCAATGAAGAGCAAGCAAAGAGTGTTACTGGGGAGCAGTGATTACAGCAAGGTCACAAGGACAACCAAATGGGTTAGGGTAGGGAATCCGCAGTAGACTTAGAATGGCATTTGTTTGTTTGAAGACAGGGTCCCGCTAAGTAGTGCATGTTGGCCTTGAACTCACTTATGTAGCCCAGGCTGGTCTCAAACTCATGGTGATCCTCCTGTCTCAGCCTCCCAAGTGCCGGGATTACAGGCATGTGCCACCACAACCAGTGAACGGTATTTCTACCATGTCTCCACGACACCCCCTCTCCATCCAAAACTGGAAAGGATTCATCCCAGCCTTGCTCAAAAGGACAAAGGGGTGTGCATTCAGAAGGGAGAACGCCATGGGTCTGTTCCTATAAAAAGCATCAAAGTCCAGGGAAACAGGTAAAGTGTTTGATTTTCACCTCATCTGAGCACCAGGCACACACAGGACTCACACCCAGACACTGCTGGCAGGAGCTCACACCTCGTGTGGTACAGATGTTGGGCCCTGCAACGGAGAAAAAACAGCATTAGTTCCTGACGTGTTACTCAGAATCTCTGGCCTGCCCCGGCCTTGCCCACTTTCCTAGGTATCCATGTCTACAGCTCTCGGGTTCAGAGCACGTTCCAGCCACGCCACAGACATGTACGGAACGCAGGCTGCTGAAAGGAAGAGCCGCAAGGCCGCAGCGATGGCAAGTGATGCGGCAAAGCTGAGCCGCGGAGGAAGCTGGTTTGACACCCGCACTGCAGATGGAATGAGACGCAGAGTCGTGGCGGTGTGCCCTCTCCAAGTACCTTAGTGATGCGCACAGCCACTGCACAGAGGACTCGCGGCCAGTACACTAACGTTAAGGCACAGCCTAGGCGCGGCGGAAGCAGCGCGCAGGATAACTTCCGGGGTCGTGTACCACCGGCTTCCTAGGGGACAGCAACCCTTGTGAAATCCTGTTTCTCTCACGACACGTACCTTGGAATTCAAGTGTGAAATTCTCCTGGGAGAACCAAGGAAATGTTAGAAAGCGTGGACTGGTATGAGCTAGAAGAACGTGGAACTTGGGAGCTGGAAGGGAGGTCCGTGTTTGGGTTCTGAATGCCCTCATTACTATGTCACGGCCATGGGCAACTCACCTAATCTTCATGAGAGAATATATCTCTCTCCCGAGACTTGTGCGAGAAGTTAATGAGGCAAGGGGGACACTACAAGCTGCCATTCAAACGTGAACAATCCTCATACCGACAAAGGGCAGAGAAAAGGCTGAGAGGGAAGAGCAGAGGCAGCCAGAGGGAACGAAATAGCCCTAAAGCCTCCCGCTAGCTTAGCCTTCTGGCCTCAGCCAAGTAAAGACCCCTCGTCCCGTAGTGACCCTGGAAGGAGGCCCTTTTCGGTACCAGGAGCAGCTGAAGGAAGATCCGCTCTTCCCCATGACCCCAGTTATCCTGGCAGTTCCTTTCTCCAGTTTTCTAAAGGGATTCCTCTGACCCTCACTGTTAAGACCAGCAAATCTTCCTGGGGAGCTCATCCTATGTTAGAGGTTCCCCAGTATCTCCAGAACTTCTCATCTCGCCAAATAGCTCGGTTTATTTTATTATGGTGTGATTGAATTCCCTCCATCCCAACACTTGGACAAAAATACATTCAGAAAATGACCTAGAGGGCAAAGGAGGGAAAGAACGAAGGAAGTAAGGAATGAAAGAACGAAGGAAGTGGGGGAAGAAAATTATACTTTAACAGCAAGTATGAGGGCAGAAGGATCTAACAGAAAAGGTACAGATACAATTTAGCAGAGTGTGCATTCTTGGGTGACTTATTTAACTCCTCTCAGCCTCACTTTCTTCAATTCCTACCATTTTCCTACCGTATTGTAATTATTTAAGTATTACCTGCCTTAATGGAGCTACCACCCAATATTTTTAAGTACCTTGCCAGGTGCCCTGCCTGGCCCAGACCAGCCCCAGCCCTTATTCAAAGGAGATAATCAGTAAATATATATTGGAGCCAACTGAAAGGTAGTGAACTAGATCAATTTTGTCTAGTATTTAAGCAAATGGGTCCCCTTCTCAAAATTATACATAGAATTCTAATATAAAATGTGTAAATGGGTTCCTTGATTTCAACTTTCATTGTTCTCTCCAAAACACTAGATTATATGTGGAATCCCTGATACACCTCCTAGAAGCTCCAGGTTCCCTTGGAGCCTTGAGTCTGTCTAAAGACCTCTTTCAACTCCAAAATACCACAGTGGGAGGATAATGGGATGCTGCTATAGACCATGCGTAACTTCCGCAGTTCCACACTCTGACTTGACTACAGCCTTAGCAGCCAGGTGTCAGCACTGTGGGCTAGGAACTACGGCACCGGTTCCAGGCCTGGGCCCAAAACATCAAGATCACCGGTAAGGCAATGCCTATGACAGAAGAAAGATACCTGGTCTTCCCAGAGCTACCACATTCAGAATGTCTTAAACTTCAAAACCAAGAGTACAACCTAAGGCTTCTCTGGGCAAGGGCTCCCTAGCCCTATCTCAGCCCCACAGCTGTTCTTTCCCCAGGCAAACACAACCATAGCCTCCCTTTCCTTCCCTGTCAGAAGAGTTCTGAGAGGCGTTTCCGCGGGGATCGGCACCCAGCAGGATAATGCTGGACAAAACCCCACTGATGTTCATTAGGGAGAACAGAAGCATAGGCGACCACAGAAGAGTTAAAAGACAGAAGAGGACCGCGGGAGGTGCGAGTGCTGTCGACTTGTTTTCGAAAATTTTTCCCAGTCTATCCTTTTATTCAGCCATTCATTCTTAAATTAGCATTTTCTTCGGTCCCTGACTGGCAGCCACAATAGAAAACTTACCAGATGTTTAAAAAACATCAGGCCCCTCCCAGTGTACCAACAGCCCCCTTCCTCAGAAGATGAGCTGGGCTGCTGAGCTCTGCTCTTTAGGAAGTCATGCCTGGGAGTCATGGTTACCCAGCACTTTTTAATCCGTTCTTTTTAATGAATCACGGGTTGACTTCATGAGAACAAATGATCCCCCCATAACACCCTCAACCAAGGCCCGCACCAAGGGGAGTTTCCCTGGAACACGGAGGTTGAAAGTGACTGACTCAGAAGTCTCCAAATTGGGCCCAGGCTGATACAAGCAGTTGCTGCTCTGCAGCTGCCCCTCCCTCCCGAGTTTGTGGAAGGAGCCCGGGCCTCTGTTTCCAGTCATTCATAAAGCTGGTGTTCCTGCTCAGCCTCTGGGGCCCAGAGGTGGTCCTGAGGAAGCAGAGGGGATCCTCACCAGAATGTCATTGAAAAGAATGGGAAAATCCTACAGTCGCTTTCTTCTAACAGGTTAGCCAGAGCCGCAAAACAAGGTGAGTGGGTCTGGTCCTTACAGGGCAGTTAGAAGGATGAAATGATGCAAGGTCTGAAATATTCTTGAACACAACAGCTGGCACACAGAAAGGGTTCAATAAATGCAGCTACTATAGTTGCTGTTTTTTGTAGTTGCTGTTTTCATCCTTAACCTCAAACTGCGTAGGACAAGTGAGGGTTTTAATTTTCTTAGTATTTCTTGAAGACCCCATTTTATAGAACACTAGACACAAAGTCTAGTGTATGTCCTGAACAGGGAGGGTGAGGGCAGTGCAGAGGCAGTATCAAGCTAAGGTAAAATGACCAGTTGTCCAAACTGGCTTCTAAATGGAGTCAGGAATATTAGGTTCAAAAATCCAATCTAGGGTCTGGACATAGTGATACATGCCTGTAATCCTAGCACTCTGGAGGCTGAGGCAGGAGGATCGTCATAGTTCAAGGCCAACCTGGTGTGCACAGTGAGGTCAAGGCCAGCCTGAACTACATAGCGAAACCCTATCTCAAAAAAATCCAGTCGAAGGGCCAGAGATATAGCTCAGTGGCACAGCACCTGCCTGGCAAGCGTAAGGTCCTGAATTCGATTCCTGGTACCAAAAAAAATAATAATAATAATCCAATCTAGGAAGGATGGCCAAGAAAAGAAGTCCAATAGAAAAAGAGAAGCAAAGCCAGCCAAGAAGCATGCCTGGAAAGTAGAAGTAGAAGGCTGTGGTTTGGAACATCGGTCTGATTCACAGAGTCATAAGAGAGACAAAGAGTGGGAAAAATAGAGGAGAAAAAAAGGAAACACAAAAACGGAGCTGGAAGCGGTGGAAGTCATGCTGCGTCAGTGAGGACTATGTTGAGGACAGGCTGTTCAACGAGGCAGGATGTCAGAACGCAGGGATAAGCCACCCTGATGAGGCCGGGGACTTCAAGACAGAAGATTCTAAGTCAGAGTCCACCGTAATCATCGGGAAAGGAGGAGGTCTGTACTGCAACACTAAGGACATCTCTCTTACTCTCTGCCAGAGCGGACTCCTGGCTTGGACCCCCTGACCTCTGGCCACACCCCAGTTAGGTCCACAGGGACCCTGGGTGATTCAGCGCCTGATCTCTCATTGAGGTCACCTGGCTGCATGACTCATCAAAGCACAAAGTGTCTCATGTTAATTGCCCTGCGTATACACAAGTGGTTTCTCTACATCAAAGTTGTAAAGAAATTTTACTGTACTTTAGTTTCTTCCTTAAAGGTAGCCAAAGCTCAGTAACCAAGGAACAGGAAGGAGGAAGACGGTCAAGTTTAAGGCAATAAACACCTCTGTGCTCTGAGCAAAAAGCTCCAGGACATACTACCGTAAGCACTAAAAAATACAAACAAATTTCCTCAAATCTAACACTAGGGATATAAGATGTATCTGATTTCAGAGGTTTTCAGTCTTTTAAAAGTGCATCGGAACCAATTAAACACAGTATTTAGCATTGGAAAACATTTTTGTATAATTTTCCTCTACCAATGTTAAAGTATGTAATAGTGGAATTTTATTCCCCAAAAAGGTATGTTGATGACTTAACACCCCAGTACCCACGGGAATGTGGCCTTATTTGGAACGAAGGTCTTTGCAGAGTTTATCAAGATGAGGTCATGGGGTGAGCACTAACCCAACATGACTGGTGCCCTTATAAGAAGAGGAAACATCAGGTGAACAAAACATCCGCAGAGAAAGCCATGTGGTGACAGAGGCAGAAACTGCAGCATTGCAGCCGGAAGCCAAGGAACACCTAGGACTGCCAGCCGCCACCAAAGCACAAAAAGAGAAGCAAAGCCAGCCAAGAAGCATGCCTGGAAAGTAGAAGTAGAAGGCTGTGGTTTGGCACATCGGTCTGATTCCGAAAGGTAGGAAGAGGCAAGGCAGAATTCTACCCGCGTCTCAGAAAGCATGGTCCTGCTGGCACTCTGACTTCAGGTTTTAATCCTCCAGACAGAATAAGTTTTCTCTGTTGTTTTAAGCCACCTAGTTTGTAGTACTTTGTTACAGCATCCCCACAAAACTAGCAAAAATGGACTTGTATTTCTATAGTATATATGGTATAATTTTGAAGGACACTACCCTGAAACACTTTGCATGAACTGAAAATAAAAAAGTAATAATAACAGCCTGGCCAGGGGTAATGGTGCATGCCTACAATCCCAGCACTCGGAAAGCTGAGGCAGGAGGATCCCCACATGTTCAAGGTCAGCCTGAGCTACATAATGAGTTCAAGGCCAGCCTGAACCACATAGTGAGACCGTCTCAAAACACAAAAACAGGCTATGCCACCAAGATGGCGGACTGGTAAGCAGCAGAGAAAGAGCCTCTCTGAGAGTTGCCCTCCAGACGCTGGGATATAGCAGTGTGAGGAAGACAAAAGGAAGGGAAGTGGGTGCCCTGGACCCAGGAGGGATTTGAGATGTGAAGTCAAGCCCACAGAGAGAGTAAAGGGAGGAATTCCAAGGAAGAGAGAGGACGTAGCCGGAGGCACCTTCTCCCTGAGATGGGACTCACTGCACCAGAGGAGCAAATAAAACCTGCAGACACACAGTGACTACTGGCGACCCCAGAGGCATGCACGGAGAGACGCAGCCCTGGAGGGAAGCAGCAGACATGAAGGATTGCACTAGCTAGTGGTGAGTGCTGAGGACTCAGTCATCCCGTCCTGCTCAAGACAGCAGTTGGCCTGGAGCTATCTTGGGGAGGGGCTGGCTGAGCTCAGAACTCAGAGCAGCTCCTGGCTCCATCT